TATCAGTGTTATCAATCAGTGTTATCGAGTTATCATTTTTATCAGTGTTATCAGTGTTATCAGCCATTGAACTGATAACACTGATAAAAATGATATCCCCTTGAAACCTCTCCAGGTTCTTGCTGCCCTCCCTTATTCAAGCAGATTTCATTCATCTTTCAGATCCTTCCCAGTGATGAGGACAATTTGACAAAGTTCCCTTCCAGAGCCTTTCCTGTCTGTTTGGTCCCGCAGAGAAGAGAAGTGTGTAATTAGGCAATTTGACAGAATCAGTYTGAAGATGGGAGCAGTCTGGTGCAGGATTAATTAATCTCCTTAAAAGTCTGAAATGTTTAAAGTCATTAGTTTCCCAGGTAAAAGAGCTGTCCAGATTTTCAACATCCCCTCATAACTGCTGTAATTAACAGCTGAACTCGTGTGTAGCCCAACAGTCAAGCACAGAACTGCTTTTARTTTAATATAGAACCTGAGATCATGGTTTGGGAGTCTAAATATTGCTGTCAGAGGCAGACACAGCCCAAATCCTCATTTCTACTTAACACTTTTATAATATCCCAAAAGCATGAATGACTGGGTGCAGTGACAGCCTCTTCACACAGCCAAAATATTGACATGAAGGGTAAATGGAGGGCTTTAAGGACTTTTACCTGAATTTATTTTCCAGGTAAAAGAACCACATTTATTACTGGTGCAGTTCAAATCTGAAAGAATGCCTTAACTCCAAGGTGCAGACAGGATCAAGTTATCAGCAGAAAAAGACTTTGGTTTAAACTTTGCTTTACACGTGCAATATGKTATTTCCAATTTAAAGAAAGAAATGGGAGACCTGCTCCAAATGAGAAAATTTAATAGGGTAATAAAGTGATAGATAGCTTATCAGTAAATGTAATGTCAGATTGGGGAGAACAGCCCAGTGGTTGCTAATATTAATATTATGTTAATAATATTAATATAATGTTAATATTAATGATTATTTAGATTATATTATATATTTATATATTATTTATATTATTCTATTTGATTTATATATGAATTAAAGTATTAATATTAATATTAATATTAATATTAATATTAATATTAATATTAATTTAATTTAATTTAATTAATATAATACAGCCTATGCTATATAAATTGCATATCCAGACAAGTATATATTTACCAAATCCACTTCCCACAATGCAAATGTGTCCTTAAACATACAGGGATGAAAACAAAAAAAACCCAAAAAAAACCAAAAAACAAACAAACAAAAAAAAAATCAAAACCTGAGCTAATGCCATTGAAAAACCCACATATTTCATATATAAATATCCACACAAAAATGCTGGCTAGAACATGAACCAGACAATTTTGCAAAATAAATTTTGTCTTCAGTTTCAGTTTAATAGCTCAAGATCTTTCTGCCAGATGGACGAATGGCTTTGGGAGGAAAGGCACAGGAAGGGAAATGAAGATGTGATCAGCCCAGGAAATGTTTTTTGGGAAGGATTCCAGKGAGTGAACACGGGAGCACATTAACACTGCCTGATGGATGCTCCAGGGGACACAACRCTCTGTTTCCCTCAGAAGGAGACATTTGTGGGACAGGAGAAGGCAAATGTGTGTAACAGACACARCTGTAAAGGTTTCTAGCAGAAACTTGTGAAATTTTGCCAAATGGAGCCTTGTGGGTGTTGTAGTGAGAGATGTGGAGAGCTGAAATGGGCTGATGGAGCACAGTCACAGCTCACTGACAGTCACACGTTCTGCTGGGCACTCTTTGGACTGGAAATGACATCTGGAGAAGTTAAACTGAGTTCAGCATGCTCAGAATCAGAGTTTGTCAGCTCTGCTAATGAGCACTTTCAAAAACATCACTGCATTCTACATTGTATGTCCCTATCTCTAACACACAAAAGCGTTAATTGAATGTGTTGACAGTATTAAACTCAAAGATGCTGAACACACCAAAAAGTGCAAATGAATTGTACAAAAATGTTAGAAAAATTAATTTAGACTAGCAATGTGATTTCAGCACACCTTCCCTGGGCAGGCTGCACCCAATGTGATTTCACCCAATGTGATTTTACCCAATGTGATTTCAACACACCATTCCCACAGGAAAGGACATTTTCCTGCTGTGTGGTCTGAATCTGCTTTCATTCAGTTTGAAGCCATTCCCCCATCACTACACTCCCTTGTAAAACTCGACTGTCGCTCCCTTTAGATACCTTCTGTCCCCAAATCCATCCCATTTTCCCTCACCTGACCACCTTGGTGCCGTTCCTCAGCACCTTTTAGGTACCTTCTGTCCCCAAATCCATCCCATTTTACCCTCACCTGACCACCTTGGTGCCATTCCTTTAGGTACCTTCTGACCCCAAATCCATCCCCCATCCCATTTTACCCTCACCTGACCACCTTGGTGCCGTTCCTTTAGGTACATTCTGACCCCAAATCCATCCCCCATCCCATTTTCCCTCACCTGACCACCTTCGTGCCGTTCCTCAGCACCCTTTAGGTACATTCTGTCCCCAAATCCATCCCATTTTTCCCTCACCTGACCACCTTGGTGCCGTTCCTCAGCACCCTTTAGGTACCTTCTGACCCCAAATCCATCCCATTTTTCCCTCACCTGACCACTTTGGTGCCATTCCTTTAGGTACCTTCTGTCCCCAAATCCATCCCATTTTTCCCTCACTTGACCACTTTGGTGCCGTTCTTCAGCACCCTTTAGGTACATTCTGTCCCCAAATCCATCCCATTTTTACCCACCTGACCACCTTGGTGCCATTCCTCAGCACCCTTTAGGTACATTCTGTCCCCAAATCCATCCCATTTTTCCTCACCTGACCACTTTGGTGCCATTCCTCAGCACCTGCATGTCCACGGTGCAGCCGCCCCCCACGTACGAGGCCAAGTTCAGCTCCGAGAACTCTGCCTGGAGAGGGGCAAAAGGACAAAGAGTTACTGGGGAACAGCAGGGACACAAACACACCACACACGCAGAGTTATCTTCATCTGGAATGGGCCTTTCCTTCTTTTTTAATTTTTATTTTCCTCTGAGGTAACTGGAGATCCAATTCTAGCGGGTTTGCCCTGAGAGACTGCAGAAATATTCAGAGCTCCCACACTCCCTGGGTGTAAAAATACCCAGGACTTATTGCTGTAATAAGTACTGAAAGAATTAAGAATGAGCAAGTTGAAAAATGCACACAGGAAAGAATGAGAAGAAGGAGAAGAAGGAGAAGAAGGAGAAGAAGGAGAAGAAGGAGAAGAAGAAGAAGGAGAAGAAGGAGAAGAAGGAGAAGAAGGAGAAGAAGGAGAAGAAGAAGAGGAAGAGGAAGAAGAAGAAGAAGGAGAAGGAGAAGCAGGAGAAGAAGGAGAAGAGGGAGAAGAAGGAGAAGAAGGAGAAGAAGGAGAAGAAAAAGAAGAAGGAGAAGAAGGAGAGGAAGGAGAGGAAGGAGAGGAAGGAGAAGAAGAAGAAGAAGAAGAGGAAGAAGAAGAAGAAGAAGACGAAGAAAAAGAAGAAGAAGAAGAAGAAGGAGGAGAAGGAGAAGGAGAAGAAGTAAGATAATTTGAATTCAAATTCCAAGTTTCTTGGGACACATCCATTCAGAATTATTCCCGAGTTAGCTGTAGTGCCACTGGACAGCAATAAACCCAACACAAAATGTTTAAACCTTTTAAAACCTCATTATGAGCAGGAAGGTGATAAGCAGAGCTCACCTCCTGCAATTTGCTCATTAAGGTTTTTGCTGTTAAAGAGGTGGCAGAGCTGGGTGGATTATAAACAGCKCTGCTCCATCATTAAAACACTTTATATTTTAAAAGAGATGGGACTTAAAAGGTGGGAAAGGTTGGGAGGGGATGTTTCAGCCATCATTTGTCTTGGGCTTCAAACCCTAATTCTGTTCTTTATGAGCAAAGGAATAAACCTTGAGCTACAACATTCTATTTTACCACGCAGGTCCTCCCTTTCCWGCATGAAACAAACATAGGTACAGATCCAAAAATCCTTATATTAAAGTAGTACCTGTGATATAAATATAAATRAACAGGTTACATATTTTGAACAGTTTTTTTTCCACTTTTTTAAAGTCATTTTTTTCAGATTCAGTATGATGAAGGCTGGGCAGCAGTAAAATCATCTTCTAACCAGGAGYCATCTAATGGTGCTGCTATTACTCATGATTTTATTGAGATCCTTGTACTATTTAATAGCCTTCTGCTACTTCTATTAGCTGGAACCAAAAGATACTGCCAAAAACAACTTTTATACATAAAAAATGAGGGGGAAGAAAAAGGAAAAAAAAAAAAAATAAAGAAGTGTGTTTTGTCCTCATGAACTCATGGAAAAAACTTGCCAATGGAAAATGAGTGCACCTGTAAAGGCTCAAAGGCCAGACGACAAATGAAAAAATAATTTCCAACTTTCTTTTTTTAAGATGCACATAATTTTAAAGCAATGCCTGCGGAGTGGTGACCCGATGATGTAATGAGATTTCGTGTCTGTGGCCCTGTGTAAACTTTTTAAAGCAACACCCTTACACCATCTTACATCATCTAACTCCCAATACAATGAAAAGGGGGGAAAAATCCTGCTACCAAGAAATAAATAAATCCTGCTTCAAACACACACACACACTCACAGGAGGGATTGGCTGTGGTTCAGGTGTCTGCCTGGTTTTATTTGTGAGAGATTGCACCATCAGAGACAAAAAAAAATCTGTGCCTCTGAAAGGCACCTGTGTTTAAAAAATTAAAAAAATCTCAGGAGGTGCAGGGAGAGAAAAACCCACTCGGAGAAATATGAAGGTGAGATATAAATAAATAAATTAATAAATAAATTAATAACCCCTTAATAAATAAAGGGTGAGTTCAGGTGCTTTGGGCACCGTCAGTGATTCCCAGTGGGTCAGGRCACACTGTGCACCAGTTTGGGGAGATGAAATGATGTTTTCATTKATGTTTTCCCCTCTCTGTGTCCCCATGAGCCTTGGAAATGTCCCTCTCTGAAATCAGAGTGTGAYTGAGCTGCACCCCCAGATGCATCACCTGCATCCCTCAGAA